TACACATCTCCCAGTATGCATCTTCTGCCTCTGACTTATTGCTCTTATTATAATTATTTGATTCATACCAAGTCCAAACGCCTTCAAACCCCACACACATATGCTGAGCAGAGGGAGGGTTGGCTGCAGAGTGACTGCGGTGTGTAAAATTAGCATGTTGGGCTCAGTAGAACATGTTGCCTGCAGCTCTATCATATGAAGCATCGAGAATGACTCACGCTCACTGTGTCCAATGCTGTGGGTGGGTCACTTTCACAAGACTGTTCAAAAAATGGGACACAATTTATTTGTTTACTTATGGATTGTCTGAAAGTTATCTGTGAGTTCAGACCACTTGTCAAAGACTTTGTGTGTGATTCTCGTGAGAAATGCCTTGTGTGGGAAAGAACAGCGCACTTATTTAAATCAAGTCAGTATGATTTATTCATTTACAGTATGTGTGGGTGTGTGTTAGAGGGAAATCCTTTGATTTGTTAAATATAACTGAACTAAAACCAGTTATATCATTTCTCATTCTCCCTCTACTCTCCTTTTTTTCCCACTCATTCTGCAAGAAAATGTTCATTTAGCTTTAGTGGACAAGTTTATATGCATGTATTGTGCAGACAGTGTTGGCTACTTTGAAACTAGCTTGTCAAGCTACAAGCTAATTATACTTAGATATAGTTAAACTAAGGTGCTAATAGAAATGCACTGGGGGGGAAAATTGCCCCTTTAGGTAACTTCAATAAATAAAAAATAACTTACCAACAATATAATTTACTGTATTTCATATATAATAATTCAATCATAAATAAATGAACAAACTCAATTAGGATGACAGTTTCAAACCTTAACAGGTAAATTTATTCTAAATTAATCAAATACACTCTAATTTACATAACCTTGTCGAAAACATAGTACATTGGTTAATTTATGTGTACCTTTGCCCGTTCAATTTTAGTTAGTTACTCCCCTACACTGGTATTCTGTTTGTGTACTGTATGTGTGTGTTTTAGTGTGTTTTATAGAGAAATGGGTAAGAATGAGATCTGCATTCATCTGTATATCTCTCATAAACACACACACACAGAAAAATACAATCACACAAAATGTCGCTTGTTTGATGTCACTGCTACAACCTGTGCCCCTTAAACTTTAAAAAATAAAGGTCCACCACTCACCAAAAGGGCACATGAAGCAGCTCTTCTGGCATTTATCCATAGCTGCATGTCTGTGTTATAAAGTAACACTGTATAAAAATATTCCTCAACCCATGCTCATTGCAAAAATGTGGCTGCAAAATGATATTACATTGCTTCTTGCACATTTTGCGACACTTTCAAAGTGAACTGAAACATATTAATGTTTATTATGTTGCTTGTTATACGTATGGCGGCAATTCGGAAATGAAATGTCGAATGAGATTTATAGGTATATTTTTGGAGTTGTCCAAAAATGTAGGTAAAGGCACGTTTTTTGAATGAGCCAAGGTTGATGTTCTACCTCAGGTTGTGCAAACGGGGTTTATACTTTTCATTTTCATCTGTATGCAATTACATTGTTTAAGTAGCAAAAAAAGTTTAAGTATAGCACAGAACTTGCAGTGATTAATTTTCTGCCCCTTCCAAAAAATGAAAGAGTCTTGTGATAATTTTATGGTAATTGCAGTTGCCTTTGTTTGATGGTCTCATTGTATAAACCTGTTCTGTGTTTCACAGTTCACCCAAAGCTTCATTCCACAGTGTAGACTGATTTAGATTATGGAAACGTTTTCTTTTGCTTTTCTCTCAGACTCAAATGCTTTGCTCTCTCCATTTGTGCTGCTCTCCATATTCTTTCCTCATCTCATCTGTCTCTCTGCCTCTCTCTCACTCTATTGTGTGAGGCATGAGAACACAACAGAAGCTCTCTAAAAAGATCAATGTTACATCCCAGTCACAGTAGAATTGATTCTCTTGTGCTCTCTCTTTCTTGCTCTCTCTCTCATGCTTCTCTGATATTTGTGTGTGTGTGTGTGTGTGTTTTGAACTTTTGCTTGAGTTTGGTAGACTGTCCTGTTATTATCCTGCTATCATTAACCTCATGGCATTTATCAAAACACCTTAATAGCACCACAGAATGTCACTGGGATTATCTTATGAGACACGTAATTGTGTCTCTGTGTGCTTAAAGTAGATTCCTGGGGTATGTAAGTCCATTAGAGGGGATGTTGCGTATCATAGGCATGTGTCATGGGCAAATGTCAAGTTGTCTCAAGGGTTTTGACACTGCAAAGTGTTACATACAGTATATATTAATAATTACACAATATCAATGTACACCACAATACCCACCCAATACAAACACCTACACCACCATCCAATACGAATACATATGATTAATCAGAAGAACAGAAGCATCGTGTTCAGATATTTGAAGAAAGTGGATAGTTTGTTTTCTTCACTAACATAGCATACACTTGAAGAACACCTTTATATAAACTATCTCTTTTTTCCATTTTGGTCTTGATTTATCTTAACTAGGATGCCAAATGAGTGCTTATTAAGTGATTAGTGTGAGTGCAAAAGTCTATCTAAAATCTTCTGCCTGGACTTTTGGCATTCTGATGCCAAGGCAGACTATCTGCCACTCTCAAATACATACAATGTCAATCTCACACCCTTACAGCTAGTCTCTCTCTCTAGCTGCAGTGCAGCTGCAGTCTGTTTTTGGCAGTTTGGTCTGCCAGATACAGAGAAGAGGGAAGAGAAAGAGAGGGAGGCAGACCAACAGGTGGAGAAGAAAGGTGGGAGAAATGTGAGGAGGAAAACAGGGTGACTGAAGAAAAAGGAAATGGCAGAGGTTCTGTGTTCTGTTGCCTAGCAACCAACATTGTTCCATCTGGGGGGATGCTGCAATTTTACTGCAAAGACCAGATTACATCTTGTCAGGTGCAAGTGATTGTCTGTGCAGATATACACTTTCAATGAGACTACTTCTCTTACAAATACGTGCTAAAACAGATGAGTGTGTGTGTGTGTGTGTGTGTGTGTGTCAGTGCACGTCAGTGCACAGATGAAACGATCAATGCTGCACACAGATCAGACACACAGGGATCACTTGCACCTGTAATTAGTCTCTGATTGTGTGTGCAGCTGCTTCTGCATTCATATTGAAGGGTTTTCATGTAAACAAAGTCATCTGTGTGTGTCTGTGTTGAGTGTGTCACAGCAGATTAGCTATATGCTGCTATATGCTATATGTCTCTCGTGTCTTTTTATGAGCATCTCTTCAGCAGTCTCAGACCTCTTAGACTGTGACTTAACCATTTGTAAAAAATAAAAAAAAAACGGTGAAGACAGTTCAGTAAAGAGATTTAACAGCTAAGGGGATGAAAATGAGAATGAGAGAGGGAGAGGGCCAAAAGTAAAAAAAAAAAACTGATTCAAAATCTACTTTCATTTTAGGATTTTGAAAAACTCTATCCACAATTGAGGCGATCATCAGTGTCAAAATGTTTTAGATGGCTAATAAAATTAAAGAAGTCAGGAATTTCATTTAATAGAAGTGAAAATGGAATCAGTGGATTATTCCAGCACTACACATCAGCCAGTGGTTTAAGAAGAAGTATTTTATGGATTTTATGTCTGTTTTATGATGAAATAAAACATCATAGGCCATTAAAAAACTACTGTCATGATTTACACACAGTGAATCAGTGATGAAAAGGCGTGGACACATTTTTGCGGCTAACCTTGTTGCATATGCATTTGTAGGAGTTTCCCTGTCAGATGCAGAATTTATGGGAGGGGAATATGTAAATTAATCAAGCAAGGTGAATTACTAAGGTTTGTGGTAGTCAGTTTACTGGTATTTGCGCCATAATTTAACACCCAAAAAAGTATGTCTTAACACATTTTGCACCCGTGTTATTAGTATATTACACACACCTGATTATCGGCTCTACATGAATTTGCACTGGTCATTATGAAAATGATCTGACTGTGTCCGTATTCTTTAATTCTTGCATTGTCAGTAGAGCAACCACAGAAATTTCCACTCCTATCAATGTTTTTATAGGATTGCACTCTCACCAATTTGCCCTGTTTAGTATATCTGGTCCATATATGAATTGAAGTTTTCAAGATATCTAAACATTACTATATATGTTATATACACTACTATTCAAAAGTTTGGTGTTGCTATGATTTACATTTTTTTTAAAGATGTCTCACCAAGGATGTAAATATTTAATCAAAAATACCGTAAAGCAGTAATATTATGCAAATATTTAGTTTTCCTTTTTTTATTTTTATACATTTAAAAATGTAATTTATAGTAATTTATTCCATTACTCCAGTCTTCAGTGTCACACAATCCTTCAGAAATCATTCTAATATACTGATAAACATTTATTATTATTATCAACATAGAAAACAGTTATGCTGCTTAATGTTTTGTGGAAACCTTGATACAAACGAACAGCATTTATTTGAAATAGAAATATTTTCCCTTACAGAAAAACCACATGAACTTCACATGTGCAATCACATGTTAAAATCACATGTGAAATATGTGAAGCACATTTGAACTAATGTGGACACGTAGACAATATGTGATCATATGTGGAAATATTCCAAAACCACATGTTTCATGTGTGTTTCACATGTGATTTAACATGTGATTGCACATGTGAAGTCCATATGGTTTTTCTGTAAGGGTTGTAACAGATGTAAAAGTCTTTACTGTCATTTCTGATCAACGTAATGCATCCTTGCTAAATAAAAATAATAAAAAATAAAACAAAATCTTGCTGACCCCAAACTTATGAATGGTAGCAAGCATATTAGAATGATATACTCCATTGAAACAAAAAGGACAATGCCAGTGCAATTTCTCACTCAAATTGTTATGCTGATAATATAATTAGCAATAATAATTTAGAGAAATGCATTTTACTAGACTTTTGGACCCTGCTGTATAGCTGTACTCTGTAATCTCTTCCACATGATGCATGACATATCTGTCTTTCTCCTCAGCTCATCTCTAGTGATGCAGATGGGGCCATACAGAGAGCTGGGAGATTCAGAGTGGAGAACGGTTCAATAGATGAGGTAAGATACTTATGAAATATTGTACAGTGTGAAATGTGTGTGCGCACTGTATGTGATGAATTGTAAAAGATCCGAAAGTGTTACAAAACTTGCCAGGCTAGAGGTTAAACAGCTCTACTATTGTTGAAGTTCTCGTGAGCATGGAGAGATTCAACAAGGGTTTGAACTCATCTGCTTGATGGCTGCGGGTTCAAGTCAGTGCAGCACTGCAGGCACGGGGGCGATACAATGTATGTAAATACATGCATAAGATGTGAAGGTGCACAGGAAGAGGAGCACAGATTAAAAGAAGTGGGTGGAAGGATGAAGAAAAGAGAAAGAGAACAGATGTATTAATCTGGCAGTGAGCAACAAATCAAAACTGCCAGCTTTTGGGTTTTGTGAGCGTGTCTGTAGGTGTTTCAATGAAACACACATACATCAGCAAAAACAACAATCGAAGCCAAGCGATTCAATCAGTCCCCAATGTTCTTGCTCTCCTATTCTCCCTCTTTTTTCCCTCTCTCTTTCTTTCCCCTCCATCCACTTGTCCTTTTCATTTCAAGCACCAGACTGTAGCTATGACAACCTCCAATGCTGTATCTCACCAAAACAGACCTCTGATTGGTTGTTAATGATTTAGAGTGGACTGTCACCATAGTTATTATGGTTCCTATGAGTATATAGGGAGGCTGTTGTTTACGTTGAGTTATTTACAATTTGTCAGTGTGAAAATATCAGTTGGAATTTGTGCTGGAACATGATGGGATTGATTATTAGGTGACCAGAGGTGTACCAGACATGTTTGTGTTTGCATATATGTGTGCGCCCTACAACAAAGCAATAAAAAAGTGAGAGAGTTTCAGGCTAGTTGACAAAACAGTTACTTGCCCTTTCGAGCCAGTGTTGCTTTCCAGCTGAAATCTTACATTTCATCTATTTTTGTGTATTTGGGACATAAAGTTTTGTTTTTTATGACCTATTCTACATTGTTGTTTAGGGCGACTAAACGTCCTCTTTTTCCCGGACACGTTCTGGCCATGATTTCTAAATTGCCCAAATGTCTGTGTTTTGTCTTTGTTTTCCTATCGTTTTTATAGTTACTGAAGTTAATGACTGTAAAGTAGGGGTGTGCGATATTGACAAAAAATTATATCTCGATATTTTCTGGGAAGCACAACAAACATTGTACATAACTGACCAATCAAGGTGTGCGAGACAGTGGGATCCACAGAGAACAGTCAAACGTTGCGAATATGCATACATAAAATGTATGAGGACTCTAGAGAGCATGTCAATAGGAAAACAAAGCCAAAACCCAGACATTTTAGGCAACTTAGAAATCATGGCCAGAACATGTCCAAGAAAAAGAGGATATATGGTCACCCTACTGTTGCTGTTGCAAATTCTGTTGACTTGTCTTGAAGATAATATTATTTGGCTGGCTAACATAGAGGTTTTCTTGAATTTACAAGAATGATTTGTGATAGTCTTGAGCATTCAAGTAAAAGCCGTAAAAAAAAATTAATCAGTAATGTTTTACATCATATGCCATCATTTTTTAGTCAAAATGTGATTGTAAAGTAACATTTACAGCTTCGTGCAAATTGCCTTTTTGTAAAGAGAAAAATATATTTGTGAATAAACAGAAATTGTAAAGAAAACATTTTATATAGTAAATATAAATTTATATTTATATTAAATATAAATATTTCTAGCAAAAATACACAGCTAAAAATAAATATTGATCACTCTTTTTTGTTGGGGCTAATGGAAATGTTGCAGGGCGAGGAAAAAAAATATAACTCTGATTGGTTAAATTCTTGGTGGGACTTTTCTGTAGACCTCTGACTATACGCCTGGAACATGGAGGAGAACTGACGTCCATCTGGAGAACCCAGAGTATCACACCAGATGGTACTTCAAGTACTTCCTGGGAAAAGGTGGGAATCCACTGCCAAGTATAGAGTATGCACACATACACATACACAGACACACACACACACACAGATTTGCAAGTTCTCTTGTATACGCATACTGTACATGCACACATATCCCTGTTGGGATTTGATCTCTTTTTACTCAACACAGCATAATGAAGAGCATAACACTGTTTTGAGAAATCCCATTCAATTATATTTTGGCTATTTTGGCATATAGTGTATGGGAAAGAAAAATTTGAATTACATAGGGAATAATTGAACACAGTTTGAGTAGGGTTGGGATTTGAGTTCTTATTCAGAATCAGTTCCATTTAAAAATATCTACTTAAAAATTATTTGAACCGAATCATTTTGATCACATATGGTACCATTAACAATTTTCCAATGTTTGCATTCTTATGCTGAGGAGAATTAAGCACCAAATTCTAGTGTTTTAGTATAAAAAGAGTATAAAATGCTTTGACACTGCTTAACATTCTGCGATATGCTTCATCACTCTCTTTTTCTTTTCTCTGTCTTTCTTTCTCTCCCTTCCTCACACAAAAATACAAACACTGTTGTTCCCGCACACATTCTCGAGGCAGATGCTGCATTATGTCTCTTTAATTGATTTAAATCACTGCAAATACCTTTCATTCAATGAGAGCGAGATTGAATGAGAGAGAGGGAGAGAGACCGAATACACTATAGAGGAAGGGTGGAGATGCAGAGACAGACCAGATCTTGTCTTCTAATTGGATTTCAGCCTCTTTTCATTTGTCTTCTGTCTGTAAACCTGGTCTGTCTCAGTCCAAAATATTCTCCTCAAACAGCAGGCTTCAATCCCTGCCTTCCTCTTTCCCTCTTATTCTGATGCGCCAGGAATAGATCTAAATAAACAGGCATCTTCACAGTCACGTCTCTGAGGACAGTTCACATGGTCACAGCGCGTCGGTGTGGCATCTATCAGCATCATTGCGCAAGCAGCACATCAAGAAGGCACAAGTTACATTATATAGAAAAGAAAATAGCCCAAAAGAGAAAAAAGTAAAAGTTTGATTCACTCATTTTCTTTTGACGCATTGATTAAATTCCATCTGATATTTCATATGCATCAGTCATGAAATACTGTATGTTAATCGTTAAACATTTTTGTTGGTCGGTAATCTAAGTACTACAAATTTTATAAACGTATAAAATACATGTATAAATTATTACATGTGAATTAATAGCAACATCTTAGGGTGCGTCACATACACACAGTCCACAGGCAAGATTATACACGCTTTCTCTGCCATCTGCAAATACTAAAACTTTTTTTTTACTATGCATAAAATGAGCAATTAAGAAGTGATATTTAATTGTACTGTCAATAACACAGCTATTGCTCAATGAGGAAAGCATCATAACAATTTATTTGTAAACACTACCATTCAAAAGTCTGGGGTCATTCTTTTTTTTTTTTTTTTCAAGAAATGAATAAATTACATTATATAATATATTCAAATAGAAGACAGTTCTTTTAAAATGTTACTGTATTTTTGATCCAACAAACGCAGCCTTCATGAGTATAAGAGACTTCTTTCAAAAATATTAAAACGTTTGTTCGGTAGTGTATATCTGAGATCTGTGAAAGTATTTTAACATTGAGACATTAAATTAGGGCTGCACGATAAATCGCATGCGCTATTTAACGCGCATCTTACCAGTAAAGCCGTTCTGTAATCAGCGGTAAATCTCCATCACGTGCGTGCTTTCACATTGAGCAGCATTAACTTCACAGAGCCGTTAACTGACGAGCTGCGCTAAAGCATGTTCATATTCGCGCGATTTTTTGCGCAGCTCGTCAGTGAACAACGGCTCTGTGTAGTTAATGCTGCTCAATGTGAAAGCACGCACGTGATGGAGATTTACCGCTGATTACAG